ACCTCTTATAATATAAATCACATTGCCTTCCATTGTCAATTTTATTATTGTTTATGCTATAATCTGGAGTCTAACTTTTACTTCTCTGCTCTTTTGTGACATTTTTTTTGAACGTAATAGCTTTAGTACGATGCTCGCACAGTTTTTCAAGATTTCAATACGTTGTAGAAAATTATGATAAATTTGACGCTGGCACCAAGAATGCTATTCTGAAAGCTTCTTCAAGTGTTGCTTCTATTATAGCCGAATTGGTATCTTTTTTCTTCCTTCCTTATTTCGAGATTCTAGATTTTGTTTCTCTCTCTTTTGTTTTTTGTCTTAACTTGGTGACAAAATGATTAAAGTAAATATTGATGTAATGCAGTTTCTGAGCAAAGAAGTTACAGCTTGCTGTTGTTAGGGAGGATTCTCTTTGTTGTTTTCTCAACCCGAAATGCTGTTATTATTTTTTGACTATAGATAATGATCTAGACTTTAGTGGGTTGATGTGTGATCTTTTTGTGAAGAAAATTTTATCGAAAGTTGGATAAGACAACATTTTATTGTTAAGCTTGGATGTTTGATACAATATGTTTTTAAATATATGACTTAAATTAGGAGCATATGCTACAAATTTCTCTTTGATAGGTCTAATGGATTGTACTTAGCTCTTACCTGCTTAAGTTATTGTCTTATTTGGTTATAACTTGTTTGCCTATTGGCTTTTGAAATTGGAGAGTATCGTATGATAAATTGATAAGCAAAAAAATAGGTGTAGTGGAACTAACCATGCAAGCTGATGACATGAGATTCTTTAGTTTGTTCAACCTTTGTTCTTGTTTAATCACAACATATTCCTTTTTTAGGGAGTTGCAAATTGATTGCAACATTATTTTATTTTCCTTATGAATATGATACTCTTTATCTCTCTCTTTATCACACGAGCTTCCCATCTCACTCTCTTATCTCCTTAAATACCATGCATCCCGGGAGTACTTTGCATGTCCTGGTGCAATATAACTTAGAGGTAAAGTCTATAGGAAGTGTTTGTTTGCAAGCAAAAATGTGGGACATGTTCTATCCAGAGATTGGCCTTGCCAACAATTTGATGAAATTAGAGGTTTTCTAGACTTTTTACTCCTACAAGACTTTAATTCTGTTAGTGAGGTCACCTTGTCCTCCAACCTTTAATGTTTCTTCTTTTAGTGATTACATATTCTTTTACCTTGTAAAAATAATTCTTTTTTGAGTACAAAATTAAGAAAACAGTTGATTTTTCACCACCTATGAATTAGAAGAAAAGCAGTAAGAAGCTAGAAAAGAAGAGTCAATCTTCACGAAATGTATCACAAGGTGAAAACCTATTCTAAAAGCTGTATAACCATCTGATACGTTTAAAGGCAGAGAATGACTGCATAAATTATTTCAATCGCCGATACAATAGAGGCGGGGGAGTTAAAGGGGTCCATTGTTGCGTATGGGTGGGGACAACTTAAAAATATTTACTTCTGAATACCATTTAAAGTGATTATATTGCCAAAATACAATTCCACACATACATATGCTTCTGTGAATATTGCAAACTCTTACTTTTTGAAAAAATGAAATAATAGATACTTGTAATTTTGAACATAAGGAATAGCTTATTCCTAGCCAAAGTGTTTGTATATCTGGATCATCTGTTTGTTAGATATTTCCTGGCTTCTTTTGGTGCGTCATTGTTTCAAAAAATGCAGCTTATTGAGTCCTTGATTAAACAGAGAAGCTGGTTTGCTTTAGTTATGCCATCTTATATGGTCTTATCTGTCTTGCGAGAGGTGATGTTGATGGATACTATTGACACCAGTGGTGGGTTAGTGGCTTATTTTCTTCTCTCTTTTCTCTGAGATGAAGTTGCTAAAATATCTGGACAAATGGTAGCGAAATTTAAGTTTAGACTTGCTACATTAGGGCTGTTATATGTAATTTGTGAACCCATAAAAAGATAACAAGTAAAATAGCTGTAAAGTTTTTTTATTTAATTTTTATTTAATTTTATTTAATTTTATTTTTTTTTTTGTTTATTTTTTGGTTCATGGCCGTCCCTATCTAATTGTTTTACTTGTTCTAGGTGACAAAGTTATATTTATTGGCTCTGGGACTATCATTAAGTGTGATGCCCATGATATATGTTTCTATGGTACTATCTTAACTTCTGCAACTTTTCTACAAGGTGCTGCTGGTGAGGCTTCTGTACTTCCTAATCTTAAGGTTAGTATTTTGTTTGTCTTTTTTTTTATCCCTGATTCCTGTTTATAACCTTTTTTTTTTTTTTTTTTTTTTTTTCCCTTTACATGTTGATGGCCCATCTTTCAAGTAATATTAGCTGTAGCATAAAATTAGTTCAATCAGCTGAACAATGTGAACCAACTTCTATAGGCTAATGAAACCTGGTTACCATATCATTGGATTGGGCTGTGGACTCACCTTAATTATTAAGCAATGTGCTATACCGGGTTCCGATGACTTTCAAGGCTAATCCAAAGACATAACTTAGTTTAGTCTATCGAATAAAGTTACAACTGCTCCAACATCTGCTTCTGTTAGACAGTGATAGCATATATTCTATCTAATCTTGTACTATCACTGCCACCAAGGTACCAATCTAATTGACTTGATAGAACACAGGCACCTTATTAAATCCCATCGCCACTATGCAATAGGAAGAGGTGATGCCTAGATTAGTGCCTGGGAAGTTGAAGCCTCAAATGCTGGATTTCTACGAGGTAAAGGTTCTAGTCAACACTCACAATTGTTTGGAGTTCTTGCAGAGTTTTAGGCACCTGTAGTTTATCAAGGATTATGATTGAAATAGATTTGGAGAATTGAGATAAAAGTATACCATATGAAACTACAAGAGGAGAATTGTGCAAATAAGTATCTAGTATGTTCGCAGGAATATCTAGCAGTTGAAAAAGTATAAAGAATCTGTGGCAATCCGAAAACTTTTTTCTTTTAGATATCTTGTGTGTTGGTACATGGCATGTTTTCCTAGTGACCGAGTAAACAACAGCTTCAGTGATACCACAGCAGAAACCAGAAAGAATCATGGCTATGAAAGTTATGTATAGAACTGTAGCCACAAACACTGACAGCCCATTTACTTAATTGAACAATAAAAAGCAAGATCTGTACTGCATTCAAATTGAATGTATTTGCTGGTCATAACTCTGTCAACTTAGAACTTGGTTCCTTTTTTCATATTTGCTTATGAGTTACTATAGTTTGCTCTCTATTTTTTTTCTTGACTCTTCCTCTTGGTAAATATTATGCTTGCATAATTTGACGTGAGCATTGTTTGGGGGTTTTTTATGTGTCCTACGGGAGAGTTACAATTTTCTAGTATGCTCCTTCCTTCGCCTGTACCTGCACAAATAACGGAGACTCCGGCTGGGGGTGGGAATTCCGCCTCCGAAGATTAAGTTAGAACCTTTCTGAAGAGGAAATAAGAACAATATATGCTTCTCGATTGGAGAGCGTTTGCAATGGGTTTTGTATTTGGTTGGTTGGTGGAATACGTTGTCGATCCCCATAAATGAGGTCTGCCCCTACTATTTTTAGTAGGGGAGAGCTGTACCTCAATTAGGGTGCAATGACACGTGACACAAAGGGATAGGGCCCTTGCTGACCAATGCAAGCTTGACACGTGACAAGCCTCTATAGGGCCACGTGTCTTAGGGGTATTTTTACCCTAAACATCTGCCCCTCACAGGTGTGACGTGGCATGTCCACGTGTCACCTGTGATAGGTGTTTCGAGGTTTTTTGATGTGTCCTGCGGGAGAGTTACAATTCCAAGAATGCCCTTCGCCGCCTGTACCTGCAAAACCACGAAGACTCCGGTTGGTTGGAGCTCCGCCTCCGACGATCAAGTCAGTTACGTACAGGAGGAAGATAATGCGTAAAATGGTGAAATTACTTCTCGCGTAATGGGAGAATTTTGCAATTAATATTGCTCGGTTTTTGTGTAAGTGTATCCAATTCTCTTGAATGTATTTTTGAATCTTGTATTGAATGCCCCATTAATGAGGATTCTCCCACTATTTATAGTGGGGAGACTTGCTTCCCCATTTAGGGTTTCTAGGATACGTGTCAGTAGGGGATTGGAGCCCTGCTGACCAATGGCTGGGTGCCATGTGTCGCTCGGCCATAGGGCCACGTGGCTGGGGTATTTTACCCCAAACATTTGCCCCTCTCAGGTGCTGACGTGGCAAGGTGCCACGTGGCACCTGAGAAGAGAGCTGACGTATGTAACATACATACATACATACATACATACATACATACATACATACATACATACATACATACATACATACATACATACATACATATATATATATATATATATATATATATATATATATATATTTTCGAACGAAACCTCTTCAAATTCTAACTGAAAGAGGAGGGAAAAGCAGAAGGGGAAGCGTCGCGTCCCTTCGCCTTCTGAGGCAACCCCTATAAATAGGGGAAGAAGCATACAAGAGCTCATTTACAAACTTCGTGAATTTTGTTGAATTTTGAGAGCATCCGGCATTTGAGAGCATCCGGTACTTGAAATTCAGGGCAAACGGAGATTTGATAATTTTAGGGCAGCCGGTTTTCAGACCGCCTGTAAGGTTGCAAGCAAGCAAAAGTTTTTCGTGAGTGTACCCCAGAGAACCTAGCCGGTCTTCAAACCGTCTGTGTCTTCGCAAGCATCCCCAAGAAATTTCTTGAGGTTCCAACACTCTTCTTCTCTAGGTACCGTCTCTATTCCTTCTCGCTTTTCCATGTATTTCCGTTTGCGTCTTTTGCTTGCATTTTTGTTTATAAGTCCCATAGGTAGATGGATCCTTTATACCCATACCCGGAACATAGTTGTGAACTCAGTCGGTCAATTAGTACGGTTGAATCTAGAACTGGATTTGCCGCCTCTGATCTTTGGAATTTTCCCTTTTCAACGCCTGTATCGACCGACTCCGTGTCTGTGCAGGACACAATGGCCAGAAATAGGGAAACAGCTATGGACCCCAATTACAGAGGCGGAGACTCAAATGAGTTATCGCCTGAAAGACAAGGCCCAGACGAGGCAGTTAGAGAACCATTCGGCGGCACCCCCACCCCAAGCGATAGTATTCTAGGCTCCTACAACGAGGAGACCTCTCCGGCTCAGGAGGCTGAGAAGCCAGAGGCCGCCAATGAGGGTCCCAACTCCCCATCCGGCTCTAATGACGGTCGGGTTGAAAGAAGTAGCTCCAGCTACTTGACCATGTCAGAAGATAGCGAGGAGGCGGAGAGGCCTTCGTGGAAAAGCCGAAATGACCCTCTCATGATCGTCGTCTCTCTGAATGACCGTGCCCTCATGCGGTCTTCTCTACAAGACTTTATTACCAAGCGACCGCTTGGTGGAGGGTACAAGCTGTCCGTGCCGGGCGAGTTCGGGACGGTTGTATAGGAGGATGACCAACCCAACGCTAACAGTTGGTTTGGATGCTACGAGGCGGCTTTCCTAGCCGGTGTCCGCTTCCCCCTTCACAACACGATTAAGGCCATACTTAGGGGGTATGGCCTAGGCGTTTGGCAACTCACCCCGAATGCTTGGGTGAACATTTTAGGGTACATCGCCGCCTGCGAGATGCAGGATCTCAACCCCCGCTGGGAGGCATTTGCCCATATGCACTATTTGAGCCGGAGCCCAGGCGGCTGGAGAGCCTGGTACACCTTGACGACTCACCCCCAATATATGATGACCTTGGACAAGCCGTCTAAATGGTTGGACTGGAAGAACCGGTTCTACCTGGTCAAAGCTCCGTCTGAGGAGGAGAACAAGGAGTACCGGACCTACAACTGGAAACCAGAGCTTTTGGGGCAGAAGTGTCGGCTGCCCCCAGTGCCTGATAATGATAGGGAGGCCATCTTGGACTCTAGATTTTTTGAGCTGACCTCTTCTTCTCTCTCAACCGGAGAGATAATAAGGGTACCCAAGAACTGGGTGCCCAAACACGAATTTTTTAGAGACGAGTGCTTCTTGTCCGCCTGTGGGCTTAGCAGCATGTTTGAAAGACGTAGGTTACGTAACCTAGCCGGTTAATTTTATACCGGCTGGCCTTTTTCATTTGAGATACAAAATTATCATGATTCTGACCGGATATATTTTCATTTTGCAGAAGAAGCTAAAAACATGTTGCCCACCGCCAAGACACCCGCGAAAAAGGCTTCAGATATCCGCAAGGAGAATCTGGAGAAGAAGCTTGCCGCTCAGGCGGCTAAAAAGGTTAGCCCGCATGACCTTCTGTATGTGCTGGCTTTGATGTTGCTTTAGCTATGCATTCACCTGACCGTTTGTGGTCTTGTTTCAGGATGGGGGTGCTTTAGCTATGCCGTCTGTTGAAGAACCTGCACTTAAGGTGCAGAGAACCACTTCCACCGCCCGGGCAACAACCGGCGGTAAATCAATAAATACCCCAGGCAGGTCTAACACTGAAACGGCCTTGAAAGAGGTCACTCCAATAAGGACCGCAACCGGTCCATCTGCTGCCGGAGGCCAAAAGGCTTCCCAAAAAGGTACAAACCCCTTCAACCTCACGCTACTTGACCTACCCATGCGGGTTAAGTCATATTCCGCGTCTCAGCCGGGAGATTCTCCGATCAGCCGACTGTCCGTAGGAGGAGCATACGCAGCATTCTCACCGTCTGTTTCTGGTGCAGATAACTCTTCCCGCTGGCCGGACGCTGCTCAATACGCCCGGGCCATCCTGAAAGACGTCCCCCGGGACGAGAAGGAGGCGATTCCTGGAATCAATACCTTCAATGCCGACCGTGTGATGGTCGACTTGGCCGATGTAAGTCAATGAGTACCTACCCGGCATTCAATTTGTAGTATACTCATCTGGTTTTTCTACTAATACCGGTTGTGTTGTTGTTGCGGGCACTGCTCCGCATGGAGGGGCTCAAGAAGGCCTACATCCGTAAGCAGGAAGAGGTAAGAAGAGCCAAACGTTCTGCGGATGACGCACATAGCGTTGCCCACTATTCCATGATTGTGCATGACTTAGAAACTAATCTATAATCATGCAACAGGCGAATCAGGTCAAGTCCCTCCAACAGGCCCTCAAAGAGTCGAAGACAAAAATAGACAACCTCCAGGCAGCCCTTGATAATGCTGAAGATGAGCTTAAGAAGCACGAGGAGCCCCTCAAGCGTCTTGATCAGGCAAAGAAGAGCAGCAAACGGCTGCAACTAGAGAATGACAGCCTGATCAAAGAGGCTGTTGATACTCATCGCAACTTCCAGACCATCCTTGAAGCTGATCAGAACCAGCTCATTGAGGAGAATGAGCGGGACTGCGAGAGCCGTATGAAGAGGGCGTTCTCCATCATCCACCCGGGTGCAGACTACAACGTGTGGGAGCTCGCCTACAAATACGCAGACCTGGCCATTCTAGCTGAGGAGGAGGGCAAGCCGAGGCCCGAACCATATGAGCAATGGGTGGACGCTGAGTTCCAACGAATGCAGGCGGAAGCGGCTGCTATGGAGGCGGCAGTCGAGGATCATGTTGCTCCCGGCTCCGTTCCTACCACCAACCCTGCTCATACGGAGGGTAACCAGGCGGAGGGTGACCGGGTGACTATGCAGCTAGAGTAGCAACGACCTCCGGCCTGCGCGCCGTGCATTATTTTGTAATAGCGCCGGAAGGGTCGGCTTACTTAGTTGTTATATTTTATTTTGAATATTGATACATTCCTGCCGGCTGTGCCGGTTTATTCTATAAACAATTTATATTTTCACCGGCTGTGCAGGTTTTCTCTGCTACATTTCTACCGGTTGACCCGGTTTTGAATGAATTTGTGTTTTGCTTTTTTGCTGCTTATTTTTTGCTTTGAATGAATGTGTTTCCGCATGCTTGGTTGGGGTTAGAATAGGTAATTACCCTTGGATAGGAGGCTGGCATAGATGAAATGGTGCCAGACGGCTATCCATATGCTATAGCGCAAATGCTAACGATTTTAGCTCAGTGCTAAGTGCTAACCGTAAAAACGAAAAGCAGCCGGTTTTTTTTCAGATTTGCCGGCTGGGCTTTTGGGAAAGACCTTTTCATAGGATTTAGGGTGTCAATTTGCTGGTTGGGCTTTTGCAAGAACACCTCTTCATAGATTATTGGCCTAAACCAAATGCTTGAGGCCTGCCTTCTCTTAGTCGATTAGGCGGCACTTTAAGTACCGGCTGTCTGTTTTGAGATCTGCCTTAAATTATACTTGATCCAAAGAGTGGGCCGGCTGCATGTTTGGGAATGCTAGCCACGATTCTTTGGTGCCATGGATCGTTCAGGCGGGTAGGACCGCCTAATTTTTGATCACTAGAACAATTTTCCATCCGAATGGGAGATGTTCTCTTCGATGAATTCACCCGAATGGGTGTCACCGGTTGATTCATTAGTTTTCAGGGCCGCTTGTGTTGGGCACAAGACATGGCGCATAGAAAACCAGTAAAGGGGGCCACTTGTGTTAAGCACAAGACATGGCGCATGTAAGCATGATATGTAGTAAATCTTTCTCATTAATTATACAGAAGTCTACAAAAGCTATACAATTTCTAAAAGTAGTACTTTTTAAGATTGTCTACATTCCAGGTTCTAGGCAGCTTTCTACCGTCTGGGGTTTCCAGGCGGTATGTGCCGTCTCGTACTTCTTCAAAAATCCGGTTGGGTCCCTCCCAGTTAGGAGTTAATTTGCCTTGCTCATTGGCCCTACCGGTTGCTTCCATTTTGCGAAGCACGAAATCTCCTTCTTTCAAGGTCGTTTGTGTACCCGCTTGTTGTAGGCTCTTGTCATTCTCAGGCGGTAAATCTCATGACGCAAGGCTGCGTTGCCCCTTCGCTCTAGAAGAGCATCCAAAGCAAGCCGCATGGCTTCCTAGTTGGCTGCCTCATCATATAACATGATGCGAAGTGTTGACTCATAATGTTCAATGGGGAGCACTGCCTCAGTACCATATGTCATAAGAAATGGGGTTTCACCGGTTGCCCCTTTTTCAGTGGTCCTGATGGCCCAAAGGACATGAGGTAACTCCTCTGCCCATAGTCCACCGGCTCTTTCCACCTTCTTCTTTATACCGTCTGAGATCAGCTTATTGAAGGCCTCAACTTGCCCGTTTGCCTAAGGACGGCCAACAGATGCAAAACAATGGGAGATTCCTTGATCTCCCAACCAGCTCTTGAAGACAGGCGTTTCAAATTGTGGTCCATTGTCAAAAACCATAGACATTGGAACTCCAAACTGGGTGATGACATTTCTCCAAATGAAGGAAATAACGTCCTTTGTTTTTATGCCTTTGACCGCCTCTGCTTCAACCCATTTGGTGAAGTAATCTACTGCCACCAAAATATAGCGGCGACCGCCTGATGCAGGTGCATACGGACCAAGAATGTCCATGCCCCACTTTGCGCACGGAACCGGACTATGGATGGTTGTCAGGTCAGTTGCCGGTCGATGTATCAACCGGGCGAACTTTTGGCATTTGTCACACCGTTTCACCAAATCCATGGCGTCTGCCTCAAGAGTGGGCCAAAAGTAACCCTGCCGTCTGGTTCTTCTTGCCAAGGACCTGCCGCCTATGTGTGAGGCACAAAAACCCACGTGCAGATCCTCTAGAACCTCTCTTCCCCTTTCAGGGATTACACACTTCAAAAACGGCTGCAGATACCCCTTCCGGAGAAGCTCTCCATGATGCATGACGAAGCTCAGAGCACTCTTCTTGAGCGCCATTGCTTCAGAAGGGTCATCCGGTAAAGTACTGTCTGCCAAGTAATCCCGGACGAGGTCCATCCAGGTGGCACTTCGGTCTAGGATACCTATGGGGTCATGATCGATGCTTCTTTTCTCAATGACTTCCCAAAAAACCGTCCTAGATGCATCACAGGAGGCGGATGATGCCAATTTGGAAAGGGCATCCGCATGATTATTCTCGGACCGGGGCACCTGACTTAGATGAAATTCATCAAGTGATACGGCCTCTTCCCTGACCGCCTGCAGATATTTGATCATGGCCGGATGGGTGGCCTCGTAGTCACTATTGTACTGGCTAACAATCAACTGAGAGTCTGAGCAGGCGCTGACTTTTCTTGTCCCTGCTGCCTTACACATGCGTATACCGGCTAGTAGGGCTTCATACTCTGCCTCATTATTTGACGCTTGGAACTGGAATCGTAGAGCATATTCAAACTTATCCCCTTCCGAAGAATGGCATATAACGCCAGCACCACAGTCGTTCACTATAGAGCTACCGTCTACGAATAATTTCCAAACCTGATAAGGATTTTCTGGTTGCACCGGTCTAGTCATCTCGACAATGAAGTCGGCAAACGCTTGACCTTTCACTGCCCGCCTGGATTCAAAAGTTATTTCAAGGCTTTGTATTTCAACAGCCCACTTGATCATTCTGCCGGATGACTCGATGGTGGTCATTGGGCGCTTGAGCGGCTGGTCTGTATATACAATCACCGGGTGAGCCAAAAAGTAGGGCTTCAATCGTTTGACTGCGACGAACAGGGCCAACCCAAATTTTTTGATCATGGGGTACCGGAGTTCAGCATTCTTAAGTACATGACTGATGAAATACACCGGGAGCTGATTGCCGTCTCTCTCAGAGAGGAGAACGGCACTAAGGGCATGATCAGAGACGGCTGGATACATATAGAGGACCTCCTGGGGTAGGGGGCTCACTAGCCATGGCAAGGAATGCAAGTGTTGCTTTAACTTCTGGAACGCCGTTTCCGCCTCTTAACCCACTCAAATCTGGACCTCTTCCGGATGGCATGGAAGAAATAGAGGCACTTGTCACCTGACCGGCTGAGAAATCTTCCCAACGCCGCCAGGCAACCGGTCAATTTCTGGGCTTCTTTTACAGTGCGGGGATACCGCATGTCAATGACCGCCTGTACTTTTTCCGGATTAGCCTCTATGCCTCTTTGGTCGATCAAAAATCCGAGAAACTTCCCAGACTCAACACCAAATACACAATTCTTTGGGTTAAGCATGACCTGGTGCCGCCTGAGTGTGGTGAATGTTTCTCGGAGGTCTAGTAGGTGATCCTTCTATAGCTTAGATTTGGCTATCATGTCATCAATGTACGCCTCTACATTCCTGCTAATCTGATTGATGAAGACGGTGTTTATCATGCGCTGGAATGTAGCCGGTGCATTCTTTAATCCAAACGGCATCACCTTGTAACAAAATAACCCTTGATCAGTGACGAAGGCCGTCTTTTCTTGATCTTTTTTCCATAGGGTTATTTGATGGAAACTTGAGTAGGCATCCATGAAACTCATCAGAGCATGACCGGCTGTAGATTCGACCAGATTGTCGATCTTTGGAAGCGGGTTACTGTCCTTTGGGCATGCTCTGTTCAGATCTGTGTAGTCTACACACATCCGCCAGGTACCATTCGGCTTTTTCACGAGGACAACGTTTGCGACCCAATCCGGGTAGTAGCATTGCCGGATGAACCCAACATCTAACAATTTTTTGACCTCAGCCGCTGCCGCCTGAGATCTTTCTTCACCGTGATCCCTCTTTTTCTGCCTGACCGGCTTCTTTTTAGGATCCACGGCAAGCTTGTTGACAGCACAATCCGAGCTGACGCCTGGCATCTCTTCCACTTCAAAAGCAAAGATGTCTTTGAATTCTCTTAGAAGTTGGAACAGGTCTGCTCCCAACCGTTCATAAGAAACCGTCCCAACCTTGACAGTTCTCTCAGGACGGCTGTCATCTAAGACGACATCAATGCAGTCACCAGCCGGCTGAGGTCGTTGATCATCTGACCTTTCCCCGGCCAGTGATTTCTATTTTTCTTGCTTGACGGGATCCGTCTGGCCTGCCTTTCTTTTCTTACCGGCTGCCCTTAGAGCCGGGACTGCTGTATCGCAGTTATCAAGGTCTATGGGCTTGCCGTCTCTGACTGCCCCCATAGTAGGTCTGACGTCAGAGAGATAGCACTCCCTGGCCGTCTTCTGGTCCCCCTTAAGGGAACCGACTGCTCCATCGTCCTTTTCAAATTTGACAAGAATGAGTGAAGGAACGATGACAGCCTTGGACTCATTGAGGGTCGGACGGCCAAAAATCATGTTGTAGGCGGCAAGCTCTTCTACAACCAAGAATTTTACCACCATATGGCGCCCTTCCCCCTTTTCAACCAGCCGCATGGGAAGATCTATGCTTCCTACCGGATGAACTACGCCTCCCCCAAAATTAACAAGCGGGTGAGGCGCCTGATGCATGTTACTGGATTTGTACTTGAGCTTGGTCAAGCATTGATAACTGATTAGGTCAGACGAGCTCCCGGTATCTATTAGGATCCGGCCAACCCTCTGATTGGCAACTTTACATTCGATGACTATGGGGTCATCGTGAGGCCGCCTGACCTTGCCCCGGTCCTTTTCAGAAATAAGGACCTGAGGAAAAGTGTCTTTCGACGCCTGGCTCTCCTCAACTGAGTTGACCAGCTTCCTAATGTTATCTTTGGTGCCCCTAATAGTGGGACCCCCTCCGGCAAAGCCGCCTGCTTTGGTGAAGATGGTCTCTTCATCCGTTTCAGAATTGGTAAGAACAGCTTTTGCCGCCTGCCCTTTCTTGGCCAGGGTTGGCTTT